TACTCCTTTGCAGTTACTAACATATAGAAAGCAATAAGTACAGATGCATACAAAATATCTGCAGTGCTTCAGGGAACTGGGTGTTTAAGAAGAACATTTGGGGCAGAGACTCTGATTGGCGGAACAATTTATAGCATCATGGGCAATGGATACCACTTAGTTCTTTAAACCGAGCTTAAACCAAGTTCACAGTAGGTCTCTTTAAAGGTAAAGTTAATATTTCCCTACTGAGAAAAGAGAGATTTTCCTTCTACAACGAGAATAGGTACAGTAGGACTACCAGTTTCCCCACACTTACAGCACATTCAAATTGGTTAAACTAGACAAGATAAACAATAGGTTTTTCCATTTATTGAAAACCAGCAATAGGTTCCCCCCCAATTTACTGAAAACCAGCTAAAGTCTTCGGTCGCTCTTGAACCAATACAGGACCGAGTGAAGCATTGCCTTCCCACTGAATGCCTAGAAAAAGCAAATACCCAAGTCAAGTACAGCACTTGAAGTGTCAAAAGCAATCTTAAAATAGCTACCTACCCCCAAAAGGAGCAGCATTTCCTCCATCAGGACCACGTTGAGTCACAGCAACCACAAGCCTGGTGGTTCCCATCAGCAGCAAGCCACCTGCAACAAGAAAAATCAGACACAGCACCTTCAACATGTTCTTAAGTAGCATGAACATACCAATTAGAAAAGGAACAGGATTTGCGGAGAGCATCACTGGGTGCAGAAGCAAGAGTGGCCTTCACAATACACATTATGTAGATCTGCAAGAGACACAGGTAAGAGGTCACAAAACCAAAGCAGATGGGTAGAGAAGTCAAATTCATTCAACAGTACGTACAGAAGGACTGTATCCTCCCTGGAACATGAAGGCCTCCAGCTGGAACCAGATCTGGTCTTCCTGGATTCGAGGCATGAAGCGGGAGCTGGAAGCCGTAGCCTTGGCATCCACAAAGCACCTGATAAGAAATGACAAAGAACTCAGTCATCTCTGTAGCATCAAATCACTAGACCTTACCCTAATTCTCAGGGACAAAGTTGTGAAAGAGCAGCTGCCTGCATCAAGTGCCATGACCCGTGCTGCATTCCAATGTGGCTACTTAAAATATGCCCTTAAAAGTATGTAGTCTTTTGCTGAAAAGGTACGGTTGTGTGGGTGTGTGTAGTAGAAGAGTAGGCAAGCTTTGGGACAAGCGCTCCATCATACAAATGCATCTTTAACGGACCGCTCCATTGCATAGTTACACACAACCGTTCACTAAACTGGCCTGTTAATCATCTGGTTTCATCCTCCACATTGCATTTCCTACAGTATTGAGTGAAGAGTAGCACGTTGATCTGCCAGCCATGAGTCTAGGCAGAGAACTCTGCCGATTTTTGCATGCATTTAAAAGTTAATAGCCAAATGGGAGGTTTATAAAAAGGTTAGATAAACTTTGTCAGAAATTTCCTGCGTAACAGGGTTTCTTGCACACTAAAGCATTACAAACGGGTCACAATAGACAGACCATACAACTAAACTTCTGGGTTTTTTTTTTTGTTTTTTTTTTTTAAACATATGCACCTTATTCAGTTCTAGGACAGCCTGGTGTACAAAAGTACCTTAAGTACCTTAAATTCAATTTTGGGACCTTGTATTGACAATTTGATGTAGAAGCACAAATTCATTATACAACACATGACTAGGATTAGAAACCATATTCTTGCCAGCATTAAGGGGTTCTTCTGGTGAGATAAATAACCCTTCAAAATGTTGTCCTACCATCTTTGAACCAGTTTTAATTTGGTTGACATTGTGGCACAAGAAATACAACACTAAATACTTGTTGCCAGGTTAAATGTTAATTAGTAACTAAACCCTTAATTTAAAACACTCTACTTAACCATTACCCACACATCCACCATGTTTGTAGTTTCTTTATTCAGGTTTGTAGATCTGGAACCAAATCTTTCACCAAAGAGCAACGGATTGTGGGCAATGTTTGCCATTAGAATGTACACAGACCCACACTTAAAAACTGAAATGGACCATCCGGGGACTTTTGGCATACTCTAACACACAATGCTTTGGAACACTTATTTTACTAGTGTACTATTTAGGATGGACATTATGAACACTGGGATGGTGATTCTCAGCGTTGAGAAACAGCACTTACCAAGAGGAACTTAAAAACAAAAAAAAAAAACCTT